ATGACGCTCAGGAGGGAGGGAGCAGGATCCATGAAAGAGTCTTGGCAAAAAGAAGGCTCTGATGCCAGGACAGACTCCAGCACAGCAATTTAGCGCAGAAAACCCGGGCCACACTACCTCTTAGTTTAACCGGCCCTCTGATCTGTACAGTACAAAGAACTTGTGCCGGCAAACTCTCCAACGGACTTGTTACTATTTCTAATTCCATGGGTATAGGGAATGGGTATGGATGGCGGGGGCCTGGTAGGAGGGGAAGGGGTATGGATGGCGAAGGCCTCTTGGCACAGGCAAGGGAATGGTCCAAATTCCTAAGGGACCTGCCAAATATCGATTGTTAAAATGTCCTAAGAATCCAAAGCTCTAATATTCTTAGGAAATAAAAGGGGACTCCCAGAACCTCAAGTCGATGTTTGATGAATGGGCTAATATGTAACGAAGACTACTGAGGATGGGATGAAAATTACTGATAATCGTGCGCATTTAGTAAATATTAACTCTGTACCAAGGACAGACTGAAGAACGGAGTATCTATGCTACGTCCCTGAAGTCCACCAGCAACCCCACTGTAAAGATGAAGACCCTCAGGCGCGGAGGGGTGAGGCAAATTGCCTAAAATCACTGGTCACGAGGGACACAGTGACAATGAAACCTCAACAGTTTAAAACTCGGCTTTTAATCACTATAATAAGTTGCTAAAATAAGAATAACAGAATCGGGACGCCTGGGTGGCTCAGTTGGTTAAGCGTCTGCCTTCGGTTCAGGTCACAAACCCAGGGTCCTGGGATCAAGTCCCACATCGCACTCCCTGCTCAGGAGGGAGCCTGCTTCTCCCTCTGCCTGCCGCTCTCCCTGCCTGGGCTGTCTCTCTCTCTCTCTCTCTCTCTGACAAATAAATAAATAAAATCTTAAAAAAAAAAAACAATAGAATCACTTCTGTAATAAAACAGTATAAAATAAAAAGCCACATCTAACATTATGAATATTTGTTTTGATGTAAAAAATACTGTTGCGTACACTTCCCAAATCAATGTTTCAGTGAGATCCTACCAGAAGATGCAAAAAAGGAGCGCATACTTCAGAACCGTGTGATATCAAATGCTTACCACAGCTTCATTTTGAAAAAGTGAAAGACCAATGATCATGAAGACAAGGCAGTGGCATTTGGAGGCTGAAAGCAATTCGATTTATTTAACTTCAAAGAACAAAAGCTTATTCTTCTAAGAAGAAATCAAAACACATTTTCTGTGAAAAAAAGAGACCATTTTAACTGCACTGCCAAAATAAATCAGGCAGAGAGCAAGTTAGATCTAACTACAAAAAAGAACACAGGCCAACAAAACAGGGGGAAAAGAATAAGGGGAAGAAGAAATGCCAAACAACAGATTTTGTTTTTTAAAAAGAGAAGGAAAGAGAAAGAGAAATCCTAAGACTAGTTTCCAGCACCAATCTCTAATTTAAAAAAAAGAAAGAAGCGAAGCCAATGAGTAGATATGATTTGCATGTGACTAGTTAAATCAATTCTACACTAAAAATCCAAATTTAAAAGCGCTTTTCACGAAAAAATAAAACTCTAAGAACTATCTTAGACTGTATGAAAGATGCATAACACTCCTGTCTTACTTTATTAGCTATATTCTAGGGCAAATCTTCCGATTCGGTCTAGAACCAGAGATTTGGGGCCCAGATGGAAAAATATCAGGATTCCTCTAGCTGGAAAAATCAAGTCATGTTAAATACCCCAAACATACTCTTCTGGGGGGATAAAAAATGTTAAGCCACCTAGCAAGAAAAATTTTGATTAACAGTTTTTTAAATGCCCATGAATATTTCTTTCCCTTCTTTTTCAGAGTCTGTTCTCTGTTGGGGTCATCAGGCATGGCCACTGAGCAGGTCTCAACCCCAGCAGGCTCTGGACCATGGGATCTGCTTTCCGCAAACCCAGATAAGTGGTCAAGCCTGTGACTCTAGAAGCCAGGCTGCCTGGGGTGGACTCTAAACTCAATCCCTCCTCTTGCCTCTTGTCACTCTGAACACCCACATTACTTACACTCTCTGTGCTTACCACCTCCACTTGCAAAATGGGGTACTAACTAGTACCTACCCAATGCTGTTGTAAGAATTAAATCAATACATGGAATGTGCCTTTCAAAGCATGCCGGGTATAGAGTAAACACTCAATACACAGCAGGTATTATAATTCAGTTACTCTATGCCCATGAGCATTCACAAGATCATTCTCTCCACTTTTGAGTTTGTTTGAAAATTTCCATAAAAAAATTTTTAACTTCAAAATTAATTACTCAGAGGGTATGAGTACTCTCATTAAGTACTCAGAGAGTATGAGTACTCTCATTAAGTACTCAGAGAGATGAGTTCTCTCATCTGTAAATCGAAGGCTCAGAAGACACTCCCCTCTCTAAGGCCATTCATGAGCTCCTTGTTGATTTTGGAGGGCACAGCACAATACGGTCACCCTCTTCTGAGAGCCAACTACATGCCACACACTCAGCTGGCACGTGCCTTAAACCAGTAAGTTTAATAACCTTATGTCACATTCAAGGAAACCAGGTGTTAAGTGGGCTGAACCGGGTAAAGTACAATTTCCAAGTGCTGAAGCCAGCACGTGAGACCACGTCTTCTGATCAAATGCGATATTCTCTTACAAAATCCTGGTGGATGACTGCGCGCTTTGCAGAGAATATCAAATTGTAAATCAGCTGTGGCCAGGATTTCAGAGACTGAATCCAATTCTTACGTGTCCGATACAGAAGAATTTGGATGAAGAAAACCAGCTGAGCAATCCTACTTCCTCTAACCTTCTCAAATCTCAAGTGCTTCTCTCTCTGAGCAGTAGAGGCTCACACCTGGTGGGCTGAGCCTAACAGAGGATCACCCTGCACGTCCTTCCTGAGGGACAGCAGTGTCTTCTTACCCGTGGTTTGCTCCAACTCGGTGACACACGGCCGGGCTGCTGACTCAGAGGCAGACTGTCATCACAACCCATAACTTTCTCGGCAGCTGAGCGGGCTGGGCCTTTCCCTGTATACTTGGAGAGCCAGATGTTTCTCTTCTCAGGATTAACGCCCTCATGACTTTAATCAGATTGCTCCTCTTATTTACCAAAGTCACTCAGGATTCAAATTGGAATCCGTAACTTCTACTAATCCCGAACATCTCCTCGGTTCGATAAAACTTTCTGCAATGACGGAAATGTTCTGGATCTGCACCGTCCAATATAGCGGACCCTAGCCCACTCTGGCTACTGAACACGCGAAATGGGACTAGTGCGACTGCAGAACTAAATTTTTAATGTTAATTAATTTAGATTTAAGGAGCCACAGGTGACTAGTGGCTACCATATTAGACCACAAGGTTCCAGATCACTGATGGAAATGCCCTCCATTCATGGGTCTAGGGCTGCCTCTTAATGAGCATCCTAGGATGGTAGAAGAGTATATACCTGGTCTTGTAGTCAGACCTAGGTTCAAATCAGCTCCTCTTTTCAGCTAAGTGACCCTTAGCATGTAACTTACCCTTCCCATTCATTTGTTCTCTCATCTGTAAAACTGGGATAATAGTATCCATCTCATCAGGAGATGCTGATAATGGTGACAGGCGAGATTTATAGCAGTACCATGCCCAGAAGACTAGAATACTGAATTGACGTCAGTTACTTTTACAACTGCCTTCATTCTCCTCTTCCTTTTCCTGAATCTCCCTTCATTCCCTCCCCAAGGCACCAGTAACTGGCTCAGAAGCCAAAGAAAGACTTTTCTGTTCTGTTTCTCTTTTATAAAGAAAGCCCCTAGTTGGCTCCTCATCTCAGGGGAGGGAGCCAGATCTTCCCAGATGCAAGACTGAAAGAACTAACACGGGAAGCTATCAGAACCCCTTTGTCTTACAGAATTCGGGAGCACCAACTCTTCCAGATCATCCTCAACCCCTCTGAGCCTGGGCAGATCATCCCTTGAAAGCCACTCCTCTCGGACTCCTCCGCACCGGCCACACCCTACTTGACTCCAGGGCTCAGCTTCAACCTTGCCTCTTGCAGGAACCTTCGAGGACCCAGCCAGTCCACCTCCCCAGGCCCCGCCCTTCCCCCCTTTTGCAAGCGTGACCTCTTCTGCCTTCCTGTTCGGGCTCTGACAGTTCTGCTGGAGCTTTCTGAGCATAATCACTCCTGAGTCCCCACCCTTGCCCTCTCATACATAATAAGAAACATGAAAGGGGGGAATGTTCCTCAAGCCAGAACAGAAAAAAAGAGCAAGATAAAAGCTAAGCCAATATCAAATTATCACAAGCCTTTTTTCTTTTGCAAGCTCTATCTTCCAAAATGAAAACTGCCCCACCAAGAAGCATTCGCTTTTGCTTTTTAAATCACTTCAAAATATTTGGTTGGAAGAGTAATAATATTCCTAGCAGGGCTATTCTAGAACTGTGGCACATCAAAGAAAACTGGTTTCCAGCTCAATTAAAGGAAAAAAGCATTGGTTTGCATGCTCCAGCCTTTTTCAAATCACAGTTTTCCCAGAAATGACAAGATTGTATTTCATTTGGCCGGCACGGTTTCGTAAAGCACATTTCATAAGCTGCCAACATTTAAAAACCTGTGGCGATTTCGCATTTCCAAAGTTCAGATTTCCGCCTTTTTTTGCACAAGAACTAGCAACACTTAAGAGCCTTCTGCCTTGTGGTAACGCAAGCCCGATGGGTGGGTTGGGGGACTCTAGTTTGCCAAAATCCCCACCATTCCGCCTTGTGTCTTAAGCAACCCTCTCTCCTCCATCATCATGCAGGCCAGGCCCCTGGAGGCACCCAAGTTTGTGGCCTCTTTACCAGAAGCTCTAGACGAGTGATCACATTCAGTCCCCTACAGCCCTACCAGTTCTCGCTTCCCTGCCCAGTCATTCCTACACTCCCATCCACACCCAAGGAGGCTCTCAGCACCTTCTCCCCACCGTACCCCACCCCACCCCCATGTCACCCAAACTGCAACTCACCTGCTACTCTGTGTCACTTCGGTCTCTCTTCACAGGTGTCACAGGCACCTCTCCATTGACACTGTCGGTCCCACTAACTGACATCAAACTTCTCCGCTCCTTCTGATTTGACTTGTGTTCCACTTTAGTCACTCTAAACCTGAGGGGTTAAAGAGCAGATGTGATGGGTTTTGCTTTTCCAGGAAACAAGAATCAAGAGTGAGTCAAAAGTCTAGAGGATCCCAAACGAACTCAGCCAAATGTTGGGACATCAATGAAAAACGCCCTATTCATAAGGGGCAGGGGGGCATTCATACCCACAAATACCCCTGTCCCCTGCCAAACTTTCCAGCTGACTTTCCCTCAACACATTACACACTATGTTGGACACGTTATAGAGCATGAAAAATGAATTAGAAAGCACAGGGACTCAAAATTTAAACAGCCTCAGTGTTGTGGTTTCCAACAAGGACATGGGTTGACCATCGGTTGTTTTAACCACAGAAGGCGGGCTAAAGGCACAACTAGTCTGCAGTTAGACTGATGCAACCAGAAGGTTCACTCGAGAGCTGCCTTATTCAAGTGCACCCCTCAGACAGTCTTATCTCTGTACACACATGGCCAGAGGAGCCCCAGCTGTGTCTTTTATCAGCATCAGTTGGCGGTAGGGTTTCTGTATGTGTTCGGTTTTTGACTATTTTTTAAGCAAATGTGGGTTAATTTTCATTAAGGATTTAGGAAAACGTTAAGGGAGTTAAGGAAGAGATTTTCATTAAGAATTCAAAGAGCAGTTAAGGAAATTTACTCAGTTTGACTGAAGTCTTTCATAGTAGCTTCTCTCTAGTTCTGGTCTAAAATTCCCTTAAAACTATCTAAAAGAAAATACACTCTCCTTCTTTGCCCACATGAGCTCACCACAAGGAGGAGGGAGCCTCTGAGGAACTAAAAGAAGAATCAGGGAAAAGTTGTAACCACAGATCCACTCGGTCAAAATATAAGTCTCCCTTTAAGCAACGCAAGAAGCCTGTTACAATTAAATGCTCACAGTTTCTACGTCCAGGAAAGAGAATTGCATCTGGGGCATTTACAAGGGCCATGCTGAATCTCAGTTGAAAATTTCAGCAGATTTTTTTTTTTTAAAGCAAACAAAATACGCTTTGTCTAAACAAGCCGCAGGTTCTCATTACATTCCACATTCACAAATTCCCATGACTCTGCTTCTTAATAAAACAGTGTGGTCATGAGTTGTAGTCTTTTGCTGTAAGTGGGAAATAGCCCTGCAGTCTTCTCGTTGCTTGTGCAACACAGGATAAAACTCAACCAGATCAAAATCACAGTAATAAGTAGCCACCAGCTGAGTGCATAGTAAGTGCCAAAAACTGGCCTAGGACCTTTCCGTGAGTCAACTGATGTAATCTTCCCAACAACCCAGTGAGGTGAATGTTTACTGTCCTCATGTTAGAGAGGGGGAAACTGACGCACAGCGAGACATGAGTGAATTTGGAAGCAGTCGTGCCAGCATGCAAACAAGGGAGATGGCAATGAGTTCAGGCCACTCTCCCGAGTCTGTCCATAGAGAAAAGGATCTCGTTTGCAGGACTGTTAACTTCTGCCTTTCCAAACGTAGCCTTCGCCAGGCAGTTCCCGCCTGGGACTCAGGATGGATGCAGCGGACACGGCAGAAGCATCCCCTGCACAAATATTCTCCCCGCCGTCAAACGGATTCATCCCTGGAAGGGCGAGCGCTCCACATCACAGAGGGGCCCCGAGGCAATGGTACCGGACACAGGTAACGTGATCGAAAAGAAAGCAGCCGCAGGAATCCACATGCGCATCACGTGGCAGCCACCGCGGAGCAGTGGACCAGCTCCACCTCCTCTCTTCTGTTCTCTTCTCCCTGCAAACCAGCAGTGAGGGATGGCTGGGGAACTGAGGTCTAGACAGCAGCCTGGGAGTGAAGATGAAATGTGCCCCTTCCAGGCCTATCTCATCAAGCCTCGTATGAACAGTCCTCCTTGTCTCTTCTTCTACTTGTGGCAGAGCCACAAGATGGAGAGCACCTGGGCCTCTGGATGGCTACTTGAAGAGCCGCCCACTGATCTTCCGGGCCGCACGAGTGAAATAACAAACTTCTGCTCTGTGCAGAGCTGAGATTTGGCCTTTATCTATTAGAAGCAGGGTGCTGGCAAATGCTGCATGTCAACGTGACTGGACGAACAGATGCCCAGAGCACGGGGACCACGTTATTTCTGGGTGCGTCTGTGAGGGTGTTTCCAGGGGAGATTCATTAGCTCCTGAGTCCGTAGATTGAGTAAAGAAGATAGCCCTCATCAAGGATGGTGGGTGTCATCAAATCCCTTAAGAGGCTGAATAGACAAAAAGGTCCAGGATGGAAGAATTTGTTTTTTTCTTTACCTGCTCTCGAACATCAGCCTCCTGGTTCTCAGGCCTTCAGAATGGGGCTGAATTACACCATCAGTGCTCCTGATCTCCGGCTTGCAGAGGGCAGTTTGCGGGACCTCTTGGCCTCCATAATCAGGCAAGCCAATTCCTATAATAAATCGTGTGTGTGTGTGTATCCTACAAGCTCTGTTTCTCCAGAGAACCCTAATACAGCAAGTAATTGATTTTTTTTTTTACCTTAATTAATACACCTGAACCCTGATCTAGCATAGCCACCTCTTAGGAGGTGGAAAAATGTAGGACCCAGAGCAGAAGACATCTAAAAAGCCCAGAGATTAACCCGAGCCAGGCTCAGGACATCGTACTCTCTATTTATCAGAGACACACAAATCCACACAGCACAGCAAACATGTCACACAAACCCAAAGCATCCACAGGGATCTTACCTGCCAACAGAGAGGACAGTGACCTCTCCTTGACGCCTCGGATGGCCCTGCTTGGACTTGTTGGTGGGTCTGATGAAGTGCCACCGTTTGTGCCGACACCGATGACACACATCCCTCTCAACAGCACCGCCCACTGTGTGGAGATGGTGGCCACAGATGTGCTTCCCCGGGGTGCCTCCTGGTGACAAGGGCCCCGGGCTCACAGGCGGGCTCCCGGGAGTGCTGGGGGTCACCGGGCTAAGGGCAGTGGGGGAAGAAACGGTAGAACTGGTTACTTGCAAAAAGTACTAACTGAGGCAAGCTCTCCCCTGCAAGGCAAGCAGCAGCTTTAAATCACAGCCCAGCGTCTACCTAGGTCTCTAAACAAAGAGATCCCCTGAACATATGTGCCCTGAAGAACTCAGATGATCAAATGACTTAAAATAGAAGATTTGATCCAGACTGACCTACTGCATCAAAGGAAGAAAGCTTTTAGGTCAAGATCCCAAAATTGATGCTCAAGAGATGTTGATGGTGTTGGTAACAGTAACAAAAATAGCTAACACTTCGTATTCTAAGCATTTGATATGTGTTAATTCCGTTAATCTTTTCAAAACCCTATGAAGTTGGTATTATGAATTTCCTCATTTTAAAAATGAGAAGTTAATGTAACTTGCCCAAGGTCACACAGCTAATAAGTGATGGATCTGAGATCCAAATCTGGAAAGCCTAATTCTAGAAACCATGATCTTAACCACCGTGCTATAGTGCCTCAGAAAACAAGAGAGACTGCATTCTTTGATAGCCTGAGAAAAAATCTAGCCAAACCATCCAAAATATAAAAAGCAGACGTATATAGGTCAGATGTTGGCCACCTTCAAAAGGCATACCAAGACTCCGGTCCCCTAGAAAAGGAGGCCTTACAACAGGACAGGGCTGGCCTGACCAGGAATCAGCCGTCTGACGTGGTACAGGTGGGTGGAGGTAGGGCAGCATGTCACCGCGGAGCCTGAGCCCTGAGCCCTGAGCCCTGAGCCCGGGCCAACAGCCCCAGAGGCACATGGAAGTCTTATGACAGCATCAACCAGCCTTTCTGCTCCCAGAAACCGGCCCACTTGCACTTTTAAAAAGAACTGTGCATGGTTGAGGAGAGAGTCTCAAACATCACAGACAGCCAGAAGCTTTCCAGTGTTCTTTAGGGAGGCTCTTTAGATCGTTAAAATAAAGACACACAGCAGAGGCTTTCTGAGACCAAAAAAAAAAAGAAAGTGAAATTAACACCACATCGTAGGAAGTTGAATTCACAAGTTTAACATTCATTCGACAAACGTTTCTCAAGTCCATAAAACCCAATGACAGGCACTGTTCACTGCCCCACAATAACTGAGGTCAACACACCAGGGGACAACATGGTCCAAACACCAGGGAGGTGTCTGTGGTCAGGGCTGGAACGTGGGAGAAATCCCAGCTCGCGAGTCTCTCTGAACCACACCACACCCGGAGCTTCCTAGGTTGACCTGCCTGCCCTCTGAGTGACCTCGACAAAGGGCAGATCTCACACGCCAGTTTGACAAACACACTATAGATTATCTAAGATGTGCCGTGTACTCCACCCACAGAGTAAACAGGAAAAGGTCCAAACTCCTTGCCCTGTCCCTTGGAACAACTTGCCTTCTTGGCCCTTCTTGCTACTGTCCACCGCACATTCTCTAGCTGCCCCACGCCAAACTCTCTCAGGTATGCCCCACACTTACGCTCCAGTGTTTCCTAGGCCTGCTCTGCCTCCAAGCAGTCTCGGCTGTCACGTGCCCAGCTCAGACAGCACTTCTGCAAACCTTCACTGACTTCCCTCTGGCCCCACGGAGCCCCCAGAGCATCCAGTGTTTGCTGCTCCCACAGCATGGCTGTGCTCCCCATCACAAGGCCTCATGCCCAAGGCTCCATTCCCCACTAGACTGAGCCCTCTGGGCCAAGCATCTGCGAAAGCCCACCTCCAGCACTGTGCCCAGCACTGAGCAGGCACTCAATAAATGTTCCTTGCTGAAGAAATAAAAAACTCTAGAGAAATACTATAATGTCATCAACTCAACCAGCCTAATTTTTGCTTCATCGTCATTATTCATGGAGGTCTTTCAATGCCCCAGGCCCTTTGTCTTCCTTATAATAACCCAAGGAAGTGGGTACATGGTTATCTCCATTTATAAATGATGGAACTTGAGCTCAGAGGGGTGAGTTAACTTGCCCACAAAGAGGTGGTCAATACGTGGCAGAGGTAAGACTCCACCCAGGTGCCCAACTCCCAGGCTGTTACTTTTTTATCCTATCTCCAAAACCACAATAGTCAGCCAGGGCTGAATTCGCCCCAGGGGACACTGACAATGTGTGGGAACATTCTGGGTTGTCACACAGATTGGGGAAAGAGGACACCAGCATTAGTGAGCAGAGCCCAGGAACACTGATAAATATCCCACAATGTACAGGACAGTTGCCCACAGCAAAAAGTTACCTGGCCCAAATGTCAACCATGCCAAAGCTGGGAAACCTGCTCCAGCAGATAACCGCAGAAAAAAAAAGTGCCACTAAATGGGGGGGAGTCGTGCTCACCTTTCAGGGTCCCCCAGGCTGTTATCTGCTACCATTGCCTTTAAAACATCAACGTTTGCTAAGGAAAAAAAAGAAAGTAAAGAATTAAAATGGAATGAATCACATGAGCAATCACAGAATTATCACAACAGAAAAGCTGTTGGAAGGAAAATAAAAAGAAAAGCTGGCGGAAAAAGATCTGAGGTCCTTCAGTTCACAGGGCCCTGAGGTCCCAGAGAAGGGAGGGTGTTTCCCCAAGGTAACCCCTCGAAATGGCACCATCTGCAGATAACTTTCACCATGCAGGAATCCAGTATGAGTGACAGAGAATCTACACAAAGGACAGTGGATCTACCATAGAGCCCAGCTACCTACACATCATTTCAATAGGACAGAGAAAACTACTTTTCTTATCCCTCCCAAACGAAAAGGAGACTTACATGCTGCTATTCCCCTGCATTCACCTCACTTGGCTAAATAAATAGTGAGACGTAGGTCTTAAGAGACCTGTATTCTAATAACTTGCACGTACCCAAACGATTAGCCTTCACCTCTGGATACCCACGTATTGTCAAGTCTATCCCACATATAATCAGGGATGTGAGAGGGTTCACTTTCCAGGTGGGCCGTTTGGCTTAGCTCAGCTTCAGGACCGTACAAGACCTTAACTCTGGCCAGTTACCTTAAATTTCCAAGAGTTGGTCACACACAGAGGTTACCTAATATGGACTGAATTAAATTAGAATTCTAATGTTAATTTAAAAAAAAAATCCAAATTTTTAGGTTGGGGGTAGGCTGTCAACCAAAGCAAACTGAATCTAAGCTTCTTGCGTCCCCACTCCCCTCTCTGCCCCCAAAGACACACATGTTCTTTCTGCCTCTTACAGAGTGGCCAAACTCTCAAGGATGAAAGACTGAGGGAGTGTTCAAGTTTCTCTTGGATATTTAATCGGCAAGGCCAAATGTTATTACTGACTCCTAACCTTTTCATTGATTTTTTTAAAGTGCTGTTCTCATGAGGAACCACAAATTCTCCAGAGATGGAAGAATAAAAAATCACTATTTGCCATGTAAGCCAACAGCAACATTTCACATTTAACAGCTCAAACATCCCTAGAGGAGGAAAATTAACTCTAGTTTCAACACTACTGCTTTCAGGTTATTAACAGTTACAGGTTTATATGGTGCTTCTCAACCTTTCAAAAATTAAATTTAAGGCTTTTTTTTTTTTAAGATTTATTTATTTATTTATTTATTTATTTGAGCGAGAGGGAGAAGCAGACTCCCTGCTCAGCAGGGAGCCCAACGCAGGGCTTGATCCTAGGACCGAGATCGTGACCTGAGCCAAAGGCAGATGCTTAACTGACTGAGCCACCCAGGTGCCCCAAAATTTAAGTTTTTTAATTTAAATAATTATTGCTCCACCCAGGAGCCTTTTGCAACATCTTTTTCCTAATCACCCTCTTGCGAAATTATAATAATGCAGATAGATATCTGTTTATGTACTATACGTATATCTGTGTTTTATATACAAAATAATAAGGGTTTTTTTTGCCCCCATGATCCATTTCCCCCCTTCACAACCCTTGCAAATGCATAGGGTTTTTTTTAAAAGAAATATTAACACAGCATATCATCTTTTCTAAAAGAAATATTCTTTTTGCCCTCTTCAAGACTACCTGTGATGAAGTCCCAACGCATTCCCTAACACAAGTTTTGACCTAAATAAGACTCCTGTGATTACTGAAAAAGTACTGAAATCGATTGGCAGTATCTTCTCCCATACAACAAAGGCATGCTACCCTCTATAAGACAAACTTAAATATAATCTAGTGATGTCAGTCAATTTCCCTTTTAATTAATAAGGATTCAGAAAATAAATTTTTGTTTAGACAAAAGGTTTGGGGAAGACACAAAATAATTTGCCAGTTGACACTTAGTCTCTGCCATCATTTACTAAACTTCAAGACCACAGACATTAAAAAGGGAAAACAACAAGAGGTATGAAAATAAAGATAGCGCCAATAGCACTCACTTATAAGAGGGTGCTTTTTAAAAACGAAAGCTTAAATAGTTGCCAGAGAAAATTAATCACCTATAAAATGATGACCTCCCTTAGAAACATGGGATCAGAAAATGATCAAGGAAGATGATTAAAATATATTAAAATCATCCCTAAAACCGTTTTTTTAAATAGATTTATGTTGTTTCTTCTATATTCATGTATTCCTGGACCTCACCCTATCTCCTAGAAAATTTAAACATGTTTGCTATGAGTGAATTCTTTAAGAGTGGGCTCAAGTTTCTATGTAAACAACATTCACACCCTGTCTGAGGAGGTTCAGTATGTGGAGTCATGTGGTTTCCTGGGTTAAGAAAACTTTCTAACGTAACCCCACCATGTGGACTTAAACACATACTTTAATTTGGTTGTAAAATTACTACGAAAGAGCAGTCGTCTGATTAAGTTCTACTGAATACGTATCTCCTCCTTATTACTCATAATTACAATAAGCAATAAAAGATGGTGTTCCCCTGCACTTGTCAACACTCTGTCAACTAGACTTCCCGTCCTGGGTTTCCAGAGAATGGGAGGAGTCAGTGACAGGGCAAGGAAAACCTGTCAAGAACAGGAGAAATTTTCTAGAGGGTAATAATTTCATAAAATGCTTCCTCTCTTCTGTCCTGAATTTCTGCCTGATCCTAGGTATAAAGCCGTCAAAATCACGCAAGAAGAATGCCCTGCTTTCTCTCCCACCACGCTTCTCTTCAAAGATTCCTTTGTGAGGCGCTTAGGTGGCTCAGTCCATTAAGTGTCCGACTCTTGATTTCGGCTCCGGTCATGATCTCGGGGTCCTGGGATGGAGTCCAGAGTCCCGGCTTCCCCCTCAGAAGGGAGCCTGCTTATCTCGCTCACCCTCTGCCCCTCCCCCGCTTATACGCACTCTCTCTCAAATAAATTTTAAAAATAAAATTAAAAAAAAAAAAAAAAGATTCCCTTGCTATCAAGGCAAATCTCCCAGGCAGGAACTATGGCCACCCCCAAAATTAGTGCCGCTGTGTGCTAGCCACTGGCCAAAAGCTTTACAGACCTTATCATGTTTGACTCTCCTGACAACTCCAAGAGTAGACAGAGTCATCATGCCCATTTTATAAATATAGAGACTGAGGCCCTAAAGATCATAACTGACTGGCCAGAGTCACATAGCCAGCATGAGAGACCTGGCCACAAACCCTGGCCCGTCTGACTCTAGGGTGGATGCTTTTGACCCCGATGTTCTTACTTCTTCAATGGCCAAGTCTCTACCCAAATGATTAATAGTTTAAAATGTTTCAAGGACATTTGCATAATCATTAGAGCAAGTTTCAGAGACATACTCAGCAATGATAATTTGTAAGGCAATCCTTGCCATAACATAAACTGAACCCCCAGGTAAGAATTTCACAAAAGGATCCCTCTGCCTCGTGTGAATAATCAGGGGCACTTGGAGAATAATCACAGCACTCTGCATTGTTACCAGATGGGACAGTTTAAGGGCCTGGCAGAGAGGCTGAGCTATGGACTTGCAGGTACTTTCCAAATGCCCACAGAACTCAAGAAAACCCTGATAACCACCCACACACTTTTCAATTCCATCTACTTAGAAAGAAAAATTAAGGGTAGCACTGTGATTAATCCAAGCCTTGAGATTAGCAAGAAAGTAATCAGTATGCGGGTCAGCTGATAAATTTATCCCTCAAGAGATTCAGATAAACTAACCTGATTTGCAACATTTGAGACATGATATATTTAAGCCATAAACAATGTCACCATGAGTATAGGTGAAATATTACCCCATTAGCCAAATTAAAAATGCAAAGCAGAAGACTATTCATAAATCATGATTCCAGATGCTTTTAAATATGTAAACACAGGCAAAGAAAACCTAAATAAACATGGCAAATGGTAATGGATGGGCTGTACTTCATATTTTATTCCTTTTTCTTTTCAATTTTAAAAGAAAAGTTATGTTAGGGTGTGCATAAAATTAAAAAAATGTAAAATTAAATTAACATCGACAGATCTAAATTGATACTAAGTTCAGAGACTGATAATGACATCGACAAAAGATTAAAAACGTATTTGTTCTACAGAGGACTGAAGCCTCAAGGCAAACTAAAAAGCTAGCTTATAAACTGGGAAGAGACCCAAGTAGGGATCTAATTCCCCAGCTCTGGTTTGGACACCAGCCATGTCTGGAAAAGGGTTCCGGTGAGGTCAGATGTCTCCTGGGGGCCAAGGAGAGCCAAGGGCCACACAAAGGATCAGAGCCACCCCCCATCCTCACAGGTCCCTGGACAAATCACAGGTAGACAAGTGAAAGCATGGACAGGGGAAGAGAGGGGAACAGAACTGGGGATTAGAGGAGGGAGAAGGAAAACAGTGCTTTAGATGTCATCCAATGGACCTACCGGTCATCAATGCAGAGGAAACAAAGAGGCTACTTCCCAAAAGTAAAAGTTCAGCATTAAAATAGATAATAAAACAGAAAAGGACAGGGGCACCTGGGTGGCTCAGTTGGTTAAGCGGCTGCCTTCAGCTCAGGTCATGTATGATCCCCAGGTCCTGGGATTGAGCCCCGCGTCGGGCTCCCTGCTCAGCGGGGAGTCTGCTTCTCCCTCTGCCCCTCCCCAACTCCCCCCCAACTCGTGTACGCTTGCGCGCTCGCTCTCTCTCTCTCTCAAATAAATAAAATCCTTGGATAAAAAACAAAACAAAACAAAACAACTTCAATCCCTGCAACGCTTCCAGGGTTTACTTATTTCTGATTCAACAGTCAGTAACCCACCTCACCCCACACTCACTAATGTAGCAGCTACTCCTGCTCTTAGAAGCTCAGGTCCCAAAGGCCCAAGATCCCCAAAGCCATGTGGGGCAGTGTCCGATGCACAAGGCACTCCATGCCTCACTCATGTACCTCTGCAATGGCTGGCGTTTCCATGCCGAGAACATATTCGTGTATTGCTTGTGCAAATTAAAAACCATTTTTTATGTAGAAGAAATGCACACCATTGAGTATTGAAGAAGAGCATCACCAAATATCGTTCCCTGAAGGAAGGTCTCTGGAAGACAGAGATCCAAAGCCAAGTGTTCTGGTCATTTTTGTTCTTATTTTAAATACCCTTCTATTAAAGTTGATGATCTGGTTTTACATCTGGCAGAAACTGAAACCCACCAATTATGAGAGGAGAGGTCATGTTGTGTAGTTGAAAGAGACCCAGAGAGCGCTAGGCTGTTCACTAACCATGTGAACTCAACTACTTGGAGCCTTCATTTCTGCACCTGGAAAATGGGTATAACGATACAAACTTGAGTGGGATATTTTGAGGATTAAATGAGATGACTCATTTAATAAATGAGTTATTATTAACAAATAAATAAAGCACACTATAAAGAACAAGGAAAATTCTGCTGAACCATCTGAAATTCATGTTTCTCTAAGTCAAAAACACTGCCCCACAGCCTGGGCCAGGCAGGTGCTCTCACTGACAGTGAGGGTACCGGGGTGCGGTCCCCCCAAGGAAGGGCTGGGGGCAGAACAGGTATTTACTGAGTACTACAGAGGTATTTCACGTTTTGGACAAATGGCTCAGCCACATCAGTGCACCCGGTAGACCTCAGCTTTGACAAGGGCCAAGCCAGAGCTCAAGGCAAATGTTTCTTTTGATTCTCAGGAGAACTCAAAGTATGGTGATCCGCAGCTACTGGGGATGTGGGCAAGGAGTTCTGCACACTCCAAAAGTTACTGAGGGCCTCACCCTGTGCACCTCTGTTAACGGTATCCTACACGGCTAATAGCCAGTGTGCAGAACGAGGACCCTCATTTATCTAATCAAGATTCAGTTCATCCCCCGTTTCAGAAGACAGGAGTTTAGAGTACATTTCAAAGGGAAAAAATGCTTCTGTCCACAAAGGTTAAACTTTTTAAAAGTCTGAAAACTTCAGAATAGATCACAGAACAGGCAAATCCATAGAGACAGAAACAGAGCAGGTTGCCAGAGGATGGCTGGGGGAGGACGGTGGAGTGGGCGACTTTCATCAGTTTGGCACGATGAAAACGTTCTGGAATTAGGCCGTGCTGATGGCTGTGCATCATTGCGAAGGTACTTAAATGTCGCTGAACTGTGCATTTAACGGTAACTTTTTTAGGCTTGGTGTATTTTACCATGATTTTTTTTAAAAGTACAAAAAAAGGAATACACAACATTCGAGTGCCTATTGTACTAAGCACTTTATGTGCAGGATGTCACAACAATGCAACGAGGTAAATGTTATTTATTACCCTCCTTTTACAGAGGAGGAAACGGACACTCCATGAGGTAAAGTGACTTTCCCCAAATCAAGGTGAGGCCAGGATGTGAAGGTGAGCCTCCAGGGCTGGCTTTCTGCCAACACTCACACCCACTGACTCTTCGAAAACACACTTAGGTGACATTCTCATGGTGGGATCATCTGGAAGCTGACGTATTCATGAGCTTAGGTAAAAGGTGCTGCCAATGACTAGAAAGATCAACAGGACAGTTCATACAAACTGACTCTTCAAGGCAGGTTTTTAATAAAACATGAATATTGAATTGTTCTGGAACACTAAAACATCCATACCTTCATTTTTCATGATGTAGTGGACAATCTGCCCAACGGTGTCACTATTTTCATTTACACTGTCATTCAACTCTGAAAGAGAAGGGGGAGGGGAGAACGGGTTAGAATCAGTCACCTCTGTCGAGGCAATGAGACCTCACTCAACGGTCTCCAGAAAGCTCAGCTGTGGTGCCAAGGGTCAAGCGGTCAAGGCTTTCTTCCTTCAGCCCCAAACTGCCTGATGCACAGCCCAGAGTGACTTCCTTGGCATGACAGACATAACAAGTACCAGAATTAGCCATCAACCTCTTCTCAAGTCCAAACACCCACTCACTTTCCTGCGTGTGTATCAGTCCTTACTGCTGCAGTTCTCTCTCATTATTTCCTTAAACCCTTTGGGGAAATGGGCAGAAAACAGTTCATCAAAAGATAAAATTCTCCTTGGATTTTGTTTTAATTGCAGACATACTATATAAATTTAGAGTATGGATTTCTTTTTTACATGGGGTAATTATTCATCCACGTTTAGAAGACTCTCCTTTCATTTAAATACACTTCCAAATGACCTAAATTTTGGCTGTGGTTATTTGCCCACACACTCCGTTTACCTTGGGCAACTGTATTATGGGACAGTCTTTGAAGAAAAATCAAACCTCCATCCGGAAACTGTAATTTCAGGGAGGAAGGAAAAGGGAGGGATCCCAGTTCACAGAGAATGAACCGAAGTGTGCAATGTCCTACTCGTGTCCCTGGAAAAGCGTCTTCTCCAACCCCAGTCAGCTTCCTCCTCCATGAAAACGCGCATTTGGCTGGACAGTGCAAATCCTGACTAAGCCAGCCTACAGAGCGTCTGTGAAGGACGGGAGCGGGGAGGCTCACTTTCTGTTGACAAACACTCAGCTTTGGTTTGCTCATAAGCTACCCATGACTCATCCTGCAGCCGGGTTCTCTCTGCCTCAAGGTCAGTGGGGGTGGGAAAAACCAACAGGACAGCCGGCTGGCAAGGAAGGAAGACGCTCTCCCCACTCTACCCGTTGGCTCTCTTGAAAGGTGACCAACTCCAAATGTCCTCTTCTGCAAAAACTGCCCTTAGGACCTGAAAGGGATATGGAAGGTTAGCTACTCCTCCCCCAAATCCAAGTCAGGAAACGTCCCTAAAGGATGGTTGGAAAGAACATCTATGGAGAAAACAGGATTTTATTTCTTGGGTTTTTCCAAATACTACCTAACAACTCGGATGTTTAAGAGGAAAAGATAAGACACCCTCAAATTAATACTAAGGCACCATTTCTTACCATACTTTTACTGCGCTGTTGACATATTTACTTAATAAATATAAATTCCAATCACACAGATTGCATATAGAACTCCCCCAGCAAAAGTAATACCACAAAAGTGGTGAGAGCTATTTAAATTCCCCATTGTTCTTATTAGAAGCTCTCTCAATAATAATAGTAAGGATTAATATTTACTGAGTGGCCATATGTGCCAAACACCAAATGCATCTTCTACATTCCACAATAATCCTACAAGATGGAGATTACTGTCCTCATTTAAATTAAATTAAAATCTTAATTAAATTGGCATTAAATTAACTAAGCTTAAATTCCAGTTAAATTACACAGAGCAGAAGTTTGGAGCACATGTAACTTGCCCAAAGCCACAAGGAATGAGCTGGTAGGTGTTTAATAAGTGAAAGCCAGGTTTCAAGCTCCAGGTGTGGTTACTACGAAATCTATACTGACATGCCACCATACCACCTACTGTTAAAATGGATCGTTTTGGGGGCACCTGGGTGGCTCAGTCGGTTAAGCATCTGATTTCGGCTCAGGTCGTGAGATGGAGCCCCTCAAAAGCCTCCATGCTGGGTGTGGAGCTTGATTAAGATTCTCTCTCTCCCTCTGCCCCTTTACCCCCCCTTAAAAAGAAAAAAAAAAAAAAGATGGATCATTTTGCTTCATAGAGATGAAAGTATCTATGACTGATTCCTCATTTAAAAATTGCCCTCACTTGGGGCACCTGGCGGGCTCTGTCAGTAGAACACATGACTCTCTATCTCCGGGTTGTGAGTTTGAGCCCCACATTGGGTGTAGCGATTACTTAGATATAAAATCTTTAAAAAAAAAAAAAGAAAAAGAAAAGAAAATCGTCCCCACCCACCTCTCCGTGAAAGGATGCAGATATTTACCTATCTTTTCAACCTTTTCCTCTTCCACCTCTTGCTCGGCTTCTGTGGTACAACGATAGCCCTTCTTCTTAAGCAGGTGGCAGATGAGGACGCCAAACAGACCCATGATGAAGAACACGGGGACCAGCGCGTATGCGATATATTCTGGGTGTCCGTTGCCCACATTGTTGGTGGGCGCCGGGGTCGTCTCTGTTCTGGACTGCAACGTGCGGCTGCCACCATTGTCTACAGAAAGACATACACGCGGCTGCATCACACGTCTGCCAGGAGGGACAAGACCAACCTGACGACCCCAGGGAATGTTCACATGGAATCTGAGTCGTCTCCCAAAACCACAGGCCATGCAGAGACTGGTGGGTCAGGCAGTACAGAACACAGGCTAAGGGCCAGGCTTGGCTTAACGTCCGACTTCCCATCCTGTCCCTGCTACTCACAAACTAGGTCCCAACCTGCGTCATTTCTTTAAAACCTCTCAAGTCAGCCTCTACTTCTTCGCCTGCAGCAGGACCTACACAGTGCGGAAAGCATGTCTAGGTGGAGTGTCAAGCACAAAGGAAACACAGAGTCGTTTGGTGGCATTATAACAGGGCGCTGAGTGGTTAAGAGGATGGACCCAGGAGCCCTGGGTTCAAGTTCTGACTCTACCACTCAGTAGCTGTGCAATAACTTAGCACCTCCATGACTCAGTTTCTTGGGAAAGGCACACACTCATCAGAACCTACCCACTCTTCCTGGGTGTCATGAAGATGAAATAAATACTTGTAAAACATTTACAACCATTTTTACAACATAATAAATGCTCAACTACGCGGCAGGTACCATTCTAGGCACTTGTGATATATCACTGAGTAAGACAGACAAAGAGGCTTGTCCTCATGGAGCTTATGATTTAGAAGGACTTAGTAAACTGACAGATCTAGAATATGGAAAAGAGAGAAAAATCCAGGACGGCATCAAGATTTTGGCCCAGGGGGACAAACATAAAAATGGAAGACTGTGCATTTTTTATTCGTGCACTTATCCAAATTAAAATTCACTGTCTGCCCATCATGTGAAAAGCACAAGGCTGGGAACTGGATATAGTGATAAACAACATGACTTGGCCAAGAACATCTTAGAACGTGTAGGGGAGCATCAGAAACGGTCCCTAAACAAAACGCATGGGCAGATCATCACAGATTGAGAGAAATGCTGTCAAAGGTGTACATGGGACAACAGAAGAAAAAAGAACAGTGAGGACCTATTTTATGACTTCAAAAACAGGGCAGCTAGGAAAGGGGCATCTTTTAAAGGAACGGAGAACTTTACTTGTGGACATGTCAAAGTATCCCATGGGCTATTACCAGATCCAGGCCTGCCAGGGTGTCACGCATAGGCTCCCGAGAGGTCCCTGCACACAGGGACCCGCATCTCCTCTAGGAAGGAGGGTGAGCAGCGGAAAGCCGGGCGCAGGCGTCATGAGATGTGGTCAACGAAAATAACAGAGAAAGAGCCAACTAGGTAGAAAAACAGCAAAGTACCAGTTCACAGACACAAAATGAGAAGAGAATTATCAAATAAAGGAGGGGGTCAGGTAGGATGGGGAGTAAAGAAAAATGTGAGATTTAATTGAAATGAAGGGTCCTTCTTCAAACTCTATTACAAAGCTATAACCATCAAGACAGTATGGTACTGGCACAAAAACAGACACACAGATCAATGGAACAGAATAGAGGGCCCAGAAATGGACCCTCAACTCTATGGTCAACTAATCTTCGACAAAGCAGGAAAGAATGTCCAATGGAAAAAAGACAGTCTCTTCAACAAATGGTGTTGGGAAAATTGGACAGCCACATGCAGAAGAACGAAACTGGACCATTTCCTTACACCACACACAAAAATAAACTCAAAATGGATGAAAGACCTCAATGTGAGACAGGAATCCATCAAAATCCTTGAGGAGAACACAGGCAGCAACCTCTTCGACCTCAGCCGCAGCAACTTCTTCCTAGAAACATTGCCAAAGGCAAGGGGAAGCAAGGGCAAAAATGAACTATTGGGACTTCATCAAGATAAAAAGCTTTTGCACAGCAAAGGAAACAGTCAACAAAACCAAAAGACAACCGACAGAATGGGAGAAGATATTTGCAAATGACATCAGATAAAGGGCTAGTATCCAAAATCTATTATAAAGAACTTATCAAACTCAACACCCAAAGAACAAATAATCCAATCAAGAAATGGGCAGAAGACATGAACAGACATTTTTCCAAAGAAGACATCCAAATGGCCAGCAGACACATGAAAAAAATGCTCAACATCACTCAGCATCAGGAAATACAAAACAAAACCTCAATGAGATATCACCTCACACCAGTCAGAATGGCTAAAATTAACGTCAGGAAACGACAGATGTTGGCGAGAATGTGGAGAAAGGGGAACCCTCCTACACTGTTGGTGGGAATGCAAGCTGGTGCAGCCACTCTGGAAAACAGTATGGAGGTTCTTCAAAAGTTGAAAATAGAACTACCCTACAACCCAGCAATTGCACTACTGGGTATTTACCCCAAAAATACAAATGTAGTGATCCAAAGGGGCACATGCACCCCAATGTTTATAGCAGCAACGTCCATCTAGGAAAGAGCCTAGATGTCCATCAACAGATGAATGGATAAAGAAGATGTGGTACACACACACACACACACACACACACACACACACACACACACTGGAATATTATGCAGCCATCAAAAAATGAAACTTTGCCAGTTGCAATGACATGGATGGAACTAGAGGGTATTATGCTAAGCGAAATAAGTTAATCAGAGAAAGACAATTATCATATGATCTCACTGATATGAGGAATCTGAGAAACAAGACAGAGGATCATAGGGGAAGGGAGGGAAAAATGAAACAAGACGAAACCAGAGAGGGAAACAAACCATAAGAGACTCTTAATCTCGGGAAACAAACTGAAGGTTGCTGGAGTGGAGGGGGGTGGGAAGGATGGGGTGACTGGATATTGGGGAGGGTATGTGCTATGGTGAGCGCTGTGAATTGTGTAAGACTGATGAATCACAGACCTGTACCCATGAAACAAATAATACATTGTATGTTAATAAAAAAATTTTAAAAAAAAGAAATGAAGTGTTCTTATTTGTAATACTCAGATTCTGAAGTGATGAAATAAAGTTCTTTCTCTACATCAGGGAGTTTCATAATGTTGCTGAAGAAATCCAGAAACCAGAAAACTGGGTATGTTTAATTATAAGCTCTCTCAGAGTATTTTGATAAAAAAAGGATCTGTGTGGCAATGATTGTAGGGGACAAATAGCAGGTGTGAAATAACCACATTTCATCACTGCAGCAAACGGTATCAAACAGAAGCCCAATTTGCAAACCAGAGGCCATACAGCAAAGGGCTATCGATCTTTCACATGGAAATACCCATTACCTTTGAACAGGAAAGGAAACTGCTGGTTTCTTAAGTTTGTACAAGGTTGCATTATTTTATCAGACAATCTCTAGAATTGGGGATAACCTATATTTTTTTCTGATTTATCTTCCAGGAATCAATATATTAATTAAATGAATGGACAAATAAATGGAAGTACACATACACACATGCTCGCACGCGTGCACTCACACACACACACACACTTCCCTAAGCATATGCAAATAGATCATCTAACTTAGGATTTACTGCCAGCCTTTTAGTAAAAACCAGAAACATTTCTTTAATGCCTTTTACAATTCTAAGTCTTATTTATTAATTCCTTTTTAATACCACGTATTCCATACAACAGGAATAGGTGAAGCAGACAACCTCCAAGACTGAGAGAGTTTTACGCAGAATCAGGTCTGTTTCAATCTGGAGGTGATAACCAGTTCTCTTTGGGGGGCACTAGGAACAGGGAGGAAAGCAGAGGGGCTCGGAATTGGAGCCACACCGCCTCCTGAATCTGGTGGTTGAGAATGTGTCTTCATTAATTTGACATGTAGCCAACCCTTGCAAACACTACATATTTAGAGTGTGATTTACAAAGAGGTAGCAGTCACTTAATCTCGTAATTACTGTACTATGGAAAAACTGAAGAAGATATGAATCTAAATTAGGGAACATGAATTACAGAGAGATGCCATATGGCACTGAGGTTACAAGGTCAGACTGCCTGGCACAAAGAACAGCTTGGCCACTACTAGACACATCACCTTGGGCAAGTTACTTAACTGTTCTGTCCTCAGCTTCCTCATTATGAAATAAAATCAAATGATTGTACCTTTCTATGATGATTTTAAAACACGGCCCCAAATTCTTTGATCCCGCTCCAATAGAAAGTCTCTATCTCCTTCCCTTGAATATATCCTCTGTGCTCTGCCTGACCAAGAGAATAGGTTGGAGCGTTGCTTTGTCAGTTTCTAAGCCCCAGGCCCTAAGAAACTGACAGCCTTCTACCTCCTGTCTCTTGGGGCACTTGCTTTTGGAATGCAGTCACCATGCTGTGAGGAAGCCCAAGCTTCCCCAAGGAAAGAAACCAGTAACAGTCATCAACTTGCCAACTATGTAAATGAGCCATCCTAGACGTAGATTCTATCGTCCCAGCTAATGCCGCACGGAGCAAACATGCGCTGTTTCTGATGAACCCTGCCCGAGTTGGAGATTCCTAAGCAAAATGAGTTGATTTGTTATACACCAATAATAACTAGAAGAGTACCTCATGGAATCATTGTGAGGATTAAATATACTAGTATATAAAGCACTTAGAAGAATGTTTAGGAAGAGATAAGCAATGTAAAAGTGTTTAGTCACCATCTTGATAGAACTGTACTATCCAGTACAGTAGCCACTAGCCACAAGTAGCTATTCAAATTTAAGTCAACTAAAATGAGATAAAATTAAGAATTCAGTTTCTCAGTTGCATTAATCACATTTCAAGCATTCATCAGTCACATGTGGCTAACTGCTACCATATTGGACAAGTCAGAAAAAGAACATTTTCATCAGTCCCAAAAGTTCTAACAGACAGCCCTGTTATAGACTACAAAGAACCGCTGTAAGGCAGTTGACTGGAGAATCTACCGTGACCTACCACAGGAATTCAATAAAAATAACTCTGAAATCACAAAGGAACTGTTCACAAATAATGCCTTAAAACATTTGTCAACTTAGGTAAATTTAGTTTTCCTTCAATTTACGCTAATAACTTGTTTAGAGACACTGGCCATCTCTCTCCTTCACCTCCAGT